GTTGCAGGTCTGGATGTATGATATATTGGAAGGGCGACAAAGATCTTGATCGGTGCAAATTTTGCAATGCACAGAGGTACAAAAAGTCAAGAAATTCGTCCACACGTTCGCGTATACCTTTCAAGAGGATGCATTATTTTCCCTTGACTCCAAGGTTGAAGAGACTATATGCTACACAAACAACAGCCGCTTACATGCGATGGCATGCTGATAATCATGGCCACCATGTTGGTGTAATGTGTCATCCATCTGATTCTGAAGCATGGAAGCAGTTTGATATTAACCATCCTTCATTTGCAGCTGAAAGACATAATGTTATATTAGGCCTATGTACAGATGGGTTTCAACCCCATGGTGCTTCAGGAAAAAAATATTCATCTTGACCTGTCATTATAACACCTTATAATTTGCCACCGTTTATGTGTATGAAAGAGCCTTACATGTTTTTGACTGCAATTGTGCCCGGACCTACAAACCCTAAGCAAAAACTAGATGTCTTCCTTCAACCAGTTATTGCAGAACTCAAACAGTTATGGGAAGAAGGTGTTTTAACTTATGATGTTTCTTTGAAACAAAATTTCCAATTAAGAGCTGCATTGATGTGGACAATTAGCGATTTTCCGGCGTATGGAATGTTATCAGGATGGGCAACCGCAGGGAAACTAGCATGTCCATATTGTGGGAAACATACACAAGCTTTTAGGCTTGAAAATGGTAAGAAGATATCATGGTTTGATTGTCATAGAAGATTCCTCACCACTGATCATCCATATAGAAAAGATAAAAATAAGTTCAAAAAGAATCGTGTAGAGACAAAGGGTCCTCCTCCAAGTATGAATGGTGAAGAAACCATAAGGCAAATTGAAGAACTTGGTTTGTTAAAAGTGACTGAACTTAATGCTGATGCAGTAAATAAATCACGTGGAAAATGTGGTTAGAAAAAGAGAAGCATATTCTGGGATTTACCATATTGGAAAACAAACCTCATTAGACATAATTTTGATGTTATGCATATTGAGAAGAATTTTTTTGAGAATATGTTTTACACTATAATGGATGTTAAGAAGAAGACAAAGGACAATGCAAATGCGAGAGATGATCTGAAACTCTATTGTAAGAAGTGAAAAGGAGTAGATCAAAATCAAAGAGCATATTATGCATTAGAGAAGAGGCAAAAGAAAGTCGTATGTGAATGGGTAGAGAGTTTAAGTTTCCCCGATGGTTCCGTTTCAAATTTGGGGAGGTGTGTAGATTTGAGTGCATGTAGACTGTTTGGAATGAAAAGCCATGATTGCCATGTTTTTATGCAAAGATTGTTGCTGATTGCATTCTGCGAGATGTTGCCAAAAAATGTGTGGGAAGCAGTTACCGAGATAAGTTTTTTCTTCAAAATCTTAACTTCAACAGTAATTACAACAGAAGACATGAAAAGGATTGAAGCTGAGATCCCGATAATTATTTGTAAATTAGAGACCATCTTTGTCCCTGGTTTTTTTGACTCGATGGAACATTTGCCGATACATTTTCCGTACGAAGCAATGATAGCCGGTCCCGTGCAATATCGATGGATGTATCCATTTGAGAGGTTTGTTTTGTTAATCACATTATATTTCAAAATTGTAGGTTGTCACTCTTGGTTAACATATCAAATGTTATGCTTTAGATTTCTCCACCAGTTGAAAAAAGATGTGAAAAATAAACCTAGAGTGGAAGGGTCGATTTGCAATGCATACTTAGTTCGTGAAGCATCAAATATATTTTTAACATTTGCTTATAATCATGCTCATTTGAAATTATTAATCCTGTTATTGTTTAAATTATCTAAGTTTATTTAAAAAAATATATAATGATTTACAAATGATGTACAAATTTATTTAAAAAATATATAACATTGATTGTGTTTATGTAACTCCACATATCCGTCTATCACCATCAAAAAATGTAATAATGTCTGAATGCTTTGCTATTTAGTGTACAACTTCATAGAAAATAACCTGGGTTGCAGATGTCCTTTTTCACACACTGGACATCTTCCTACCTTCCAATCACCTACAAAATTACATATTTCTCACTATTACTTTACTTTTACTTTACTACACAAGAAAAAAAATAAGAAATTGCAGAGTGAATAAATAAATACCTTGACTTTGTTGTCATCATACATCATCCACTGTTGATGATCATGACTGTAGGTAAAGCAATGGTAGTGTTGCCCATAATAACACACCAAAAAAATAATAAAATAGGACCCAAAGACACACGTGAAATGCTTTGAGAATGACTCCATTATCATTATCTTTATGTTTCTATTTCATTTGAATTTAATAAAATAATTGAAATAATTGTATAGTCAAAGATTATTGATTATGATTTATGAACAAGAAAATATGCTCTAAGTGATTGATGGGGTCCTTATATGTGTAGATCCTTTCAATTAATTTTTTTTTAATAAATATATGACCTTAAAGTCTGATTCTCTACCCCTAATATTTAATAAAAAAAAAAGAGCTCGAAAGGGAATTGAATTCTTAGTATTTTATGAGAAGCATTGTTAATTACTTAACCGAAGGAAATAAAGGGTTAACTTGGCTAGTATAGTAAATACAAGATATGTTTAGTATTTTTTTTTAAAAGCGATGTTTGTTAAAAAGCAATGTTTGATTTTCTGCAACTCCATCGATTAATCAAATAAGTCTTCTTCCCCAAATCAGAGGTATCGGATCAAACTTTTCAATCGCCGATCGCATTCCTCATTCCCCAAACAGTTTATCGATCGGAGCTCCTCTCACTCTCAATCGTCTTCATCCCTACTAGGTAACATTCTTCTCTCTTATTTTTGCTCCATTTTCTCTTTCTATCATCCAATGAATCGAAGGATAATGATCTCTCTTAGTAGCGTTCTGCAACATTTGATGCGATTTTAACTTATCACTGATTCAGAAACCCTAGAAATCCACTCTTAGTAGCGTTCTCCTGTTGTAAATTTATTTGTTTTGCAATCAATTATCTACTTGCAATGCATATTAATCTTGCTTGTTCTGCAACATTTAATGTGATTTTAGCAGCATATGCAGCCACTTTAGCAACAGAACCAACAGATTCAATGGAAACAGCTGAAGAAGCTAGTTTTGCTTCATCATCTGAAGCCAAACCACAACTATTTTGTCTTTCTAATTGACTCCATACATGTTGCCGTGTGTGACTGCAACAGCGGCATAATCAGCAGCTTCTGTTGCTTGTAGTTTGGACTCCTCAATTTTGGTCATGATTTCCTCTTTGGTTACAGTCTTCTCTATGTTTCGGTCAACAGGTTTAGGTTGACCATGATTAGACTTTTGATCGGAACTGTTAAGAAGAGTGCACATATGTCTTTTCTATAACAAGTGAATTGAATTATGATGGTCTTGAACTATTGGTTAAAATTTTGACAAACAGAAAAAATTTGGGGTCATGTTTTTATGTAAATGTCGATCATATAGTGGAGAACATTTCTAATTGTTATAGTTCCTCAGTTGGAGTATCGTATGTCTATTCGATATTTGTGATTAGTTTGTTTGATTATAGTCTTCTAAGATCTTTTACCATGTTTAATTGTCAAATCAACATTTGTTTATATAATACCATTAAACAAATATCATATATCTAGACTACACTTTATGATGAAAAAAAAACAGGGCCTTAATGTAGATGAAAGCAAATAAGCAATGCTGATATTCACTCTTATATCACCAATAAACTTATTTCTTATGTTATCTGTTTCATAAACTTTGTATCATTACTTGTTGAAACTATCACTCACATACTATTATCTTTGTGTAGATACCACCAAGGAAAACTACAACATCCTACAGGTTCTTATCACAAGTTCTCAATCACTTCTCTTCCCTTCTATATAAATCTGTTACTCATGAAATACATTCAATGATAATTTTTCTGCTTAAACAACATGTACTCATCTGCCTTGTTGGCTACAACAGACTACAAAGTAGCTAGATAAAGTAGGAGCAACGATTCTCATTGTTTTTTTATATGGACTATTAGATTTTGTTGCTAGTTTGCCATGGTAAACAACAAAATGGACTGTTATTTATGCAACTGGAATTCAATTCCATTCCAATCTCACATTTGATATAATTTTCTAGGTTTAAAATTACCCGACTCTTCTATGCTTGTTTTTGCTATTCTATTGTTGGCATCTCAATTATATTAAATATCTTTAGAATCAACATTCATAATAAATCAATTAATGATTTTTCTTGTTGGATAATGCAGGAGCTTGGATCCCGCTTTGTTGATTCTTACAAAGAATATTATGAAAGTAGGTCTTTCTTTACTAACAAACAAACATGCATACACTTTTATAGATAATTTTGAATTTTTGGTCCTATATCTTGTTTGTGTATTAACACTCTTGTTTAAAATGACCTCATTTCTTCTAGATGTATGGCATTTTGAATGCTATAATGAGTTAATGTGTATACTATCTAGACACCCCTTTTTCCATTCCTAACATTCCTTTGAACTATGTTATAATGTGCTAAGTTGGTGAAGGGTAAAACAATCATTTGTCATACTCAAATAATCTTTATGTATGCAATATTAATTAAAGGCATCAACTTTTTCAACTTTTTCTTTGTTCCAGGTTCCAATCCACTCCACTCCAGTCCAATCCAATCCAATCCAATCCAGGTGATAACAAAAGCATCATGTTTAAGTTTTGTGCTTTATCTTTTATACTTACTATGACATTGTAAGTTTTTATTTTTTTCATTTTTAAATGCAAAAAATAACAATCTACTTTCATTAAAGTATATGCATTATACTTTAGTTTTTGTATTTTTCAAAGTAAAAAGTAGGATGCTAAAATAAATAAGCAAACAAAAGTATATTGGTATTTTTAAAGTAAAAAGTAGTATGCTTAAATTTTTAGTAAGATATTTCTATAATATTTGTGATCTAACAGATTTATAACTTCCTAAGTTTTTAAAATTTCAGGGAAGATGTTACAATTCTTCTTATTAAGAGACACATTGAAACGAAAGCAACATACAAGTGTACGTTTCATAAACAAACGCACCGATGATGCTAAATCTGTTGGTAATATATCTGCCCCAATATCTACACCAGCATTGTTGTCATCATCATCTCGTACCACATTATCATCTGTTGGTACTGTATCTGCCCCAACATTTGTTTCACATGTTGGTGCCACATCATCAACACATGCATCATCCATACCTACATCATCCAACCAGTCTTCCTTACCTATATCATCTACCCAATCATCTGTACCTACATCTATCCAATCATCTCCACCTGCATCTACTACATCATCTGTACCTAGATCCACAACAAATTGTAGTGAATCGGTTGAGGAAAGTGTTGGTGTTTAACATCAAGGGTATTTGCTTGGATCTACAGGACTGGATGGGCGTCTATATATTCGAGTGCGAGATAAGGAGTAAGTTAAAATTCTTATATTTTTATCAACATTGAGCTTCATGAATTTTACAATGCGGTTGATTTTTTATTTTGTAGGTTATTTCCTTCGGGCCCATGTTCTTCCATTATCTATGAATCTTTTGGTGAAAGAGCTGATTTAAACGGGTATAGCTGGGCAACTTTAAGTGATGAGACAAAACTCCTTTATTGCGACGGGTTTCATGTATGTATCTCGTTTATGCAGTTATTAGGTACTCATCAACTAAAAAACTCATCTATATATTTTGTATTGTAGAAAAAGTGCCATTGGGATGAGGCAAAAACTCCGTTAGTCCAAGCTTGTTGGGAAAATAAGGCAAAGGAAAGATATAGACAATATATCTACAATATAAGCTCAAAATGGAAAATGTTGACTCTAAAAAAAACCAGTTAATATAACATCAGAAGTGTGGACATCCTGGACTGCAAGATGAAATACTGAAGACTTCAAGAAGAAATCAGAACAAAACAAAAAAATAGGCGTAGAGGTGTAGCTGATGGACAAGCCTTTCTACGCATACCGGTGGCTCGACTTCTCATTCCAAGATTGCTTCTGATTTAGTAAGTACTCATTTAATTTTATATTATAGCAATCTACATTCATTTAGAAATACCATTATTTAGTTCTATTTTGATTTTTATAAGGACTAAGCCTAAATACATAAAATAACAATCTATTTTTTTTAGTTGTATGTTATAGTTTTTCTAGTTCCATTTTGATTTTTAAGGGGACTAATCCTAAAAAGTATGTTACTTTATTTTTCATTTTTAAAGAGTGGAGCCTATATGAAAAAAATAGCAATCTACTTTCATTTATTTTTGTATTATAGCAATCTAGTTCCGTTTTGATTTTTAAATGGGATTAGCCTAAAAGTAAGTTGCTATTTTTTCATTTTTAACAATCTAAGCCTAAATGTAAAAATAGCAATCTAATTTAATATTGATTTATTTTGTATATATGTAGAAGAAGCTTTGGGGACATGATCCAGCACACCATGAACTATTCTTGTATACACACACTAAGAATCACGATGGAGTGACTTTTTTAGTTGACAAAGCTAAAAAAATTTATGTAAGTTTTTTTTAATAATTTCATGTAAAAAAAATTTTCATTTTTTTTTGTATAAGTTTTATCTCAACACAATTATAAAATTATAGGATGATTTTATGGAACGATGTGATCGCTTGGAAGCAATAGGAGAGGAAATTGATGAGGACAAACTATTTTATGATGTTGTTGGAGGGCATGATCGAAAAAAGAGATTATATGGATTTGGCTCATATGGAAAGCGCATTCGTTCTAGTAAAGGATCTTCTAAAATGCATCACGAACAATACGAGGATAATAATATCGAGACAAAAGTCGAGATTGAGAATTTGAAGAAGTTAGTTGAGACACAACGCGAACAATATGAGGATATTCAACAAAAATATGAGGATGTTCAGCAAAAATATGAGGATGCTCAGAAAAAGAATGTGGAGTTTCAGCAGAAAAATGTAGATGTTCAAGCAAAGTTTGAACAACAACTTGCACAAGCAATGAATGTCATTAACACATTGAGTGAACAAGTCAAAACTTTTGTTAAACAATGATAGAATATTATGTATCGAATAGTGTTTTACGTTAAATTTGTAGCGACTTTTAAATTTGAAATATGTATCTTTTGATGTATTGGATATTTCTTTTAGTTTCTATAGAAATACTTTGTTATTTTTGGTTTTATATTAATTGTATTTTTATAAATTGATATAACAAATGAAATTAGTATTGAACGATTGTTATGGAATTGACTACAAAAAAGTTGTTACGGAATTTGCTACGGAATGAATGGCTACGAAATTTGTTACGGAACGAATGGCTACAGAATTTGCTACGGAACAATTAGTTACGAAATTTAATATGGACCAAATGGCTAAGGAATTTGCTACAAAACAAATGGCTACGGAACTTGCTATGGACCAAATAGCTACGGAATTTGCTACGGACCAAATGGCTACGGAATTTGCTACGGAACAAAAAAGATACGGAATTTGCTACATAACTCATTGTTACGGAATTGTGATAGAAGTGTGTTGTAGTTGAAATGTTACGGATAGACGTCGTAGCAACGACCATAGCAAAATTGCTACGAAACTATAATTTTGTAGTTAAACATTTTGCTACAAGAAATCTTACTATGGAATGTCATTAGCGAATTCCATAGCAACTTCCGTAGTTATTTAGGTTTAGCTACGGAATTACATCATTTTGCTACGGAATTGTTCCGTAGTTAAATCGAAATTTTCTTGTAGTGATTGATGTTAATCCAAACCAGGTCAAAGCCACATGTTCTATTCATGGGCATTTTAATCTTTGTTAGGAGTATGACTTAGTAAATAGTCATGTTGGTAATAGAGTTAGTTGTAATGGTTGCTTTTGAAAGAGAAGAATAATAGAAGTTTCCATTTGAAAGTAATATTGCTACTCTTAATACAAATTGTTGTTTTGATAAGTGTTCAAGGCGTGTGATTCCGGGTCCGAGGAGGCTGATTTCCAACAGAGGGTGGGGTGTTGTTTATGTTGGTACCGAATGTTCTACATTAGCAACCCCTTTTCCCTTCCCGCTTCTTCTTGCTTTCGTGACGACTCTAGGTGGTTGTTTAATAGTCACTAGTCCTTATTTTATTTGAATAACCAACCATATAATTTTAAATATGATTCCAGCAACCATGAAATTGAGATTATTATATGAAAGGAAACGTTTTTGTAAATTTTATACGGTAACATTTTACAAAATTTAACTTAGTGTAGGTAAGAATCAACCTACAATGTTTTAAAACGCTATGCTCTAAACAAGTCCTTCTTCCTTTGCACACATTTGGGTGCAAACGAGTTTAGTTGAGCCCGAACCTGACCATACACAAGCTTCATTCATTTAACTTTTTTTAGTTCAAGTTCGAGCTCGTCTCGTTTCGAGCCTTATGGTATGAAGCTTGAGACCTGGTCGTGAAGAACTATAAGGGTTTCGACACCACTCGTATATGGTATACCATAATTTATTAAAAATGTATTTATTGAAATACTTACTTATTTTAATATATAAAAATAAAAAAATTATTATACATGTATGCTTATTTAGGTTTGTGAGCCTAATCAATCTTAGGAACACATGCTCAATCTCGAGTATAACATCTGTTTCCTGGATCGGATCAATGGGGCATTAACAAGTTTAATACATGGTTTTAGGAAAAGCCATGGGTCACGATGTGACCATAGGTGGTCACAACGTGACGTGTCAAATGAAGTCACGATGTGGCAATTAATTGGTCACGACGTGAGGAGGGCTACATCCCAAGCCTATGACCTTTTAGGATTCGCTTCGTATTTAAGCATCCTAAACTCGGTTTTAGGTTCATTTCCCAGCCTCCACCTCTCTAAACCTCAGCAATACTAACCCTAGTTCTTCATGGTGGTTTTTGGTGCTCATTTAGTGATTTTTGGCTCTTTAAAGAAGAAGAAGACTCCTTGGGTGCATCCTTTTGGCAATCAAGATCCTACCTCATCACCTTGCAGTGTTTTTGGACCCTTGTATGCCATAAAGCTTCTACCTTTATCTCTAATGCATGCTAGATCTAAGGTTTATTCTTTGCTTTTTATGGATGTTTTTTTATAGCATGCATGAGATTTATAAAGTTAGCAACTTTATGGTTTATTGAGGCATTTCCTTTTAGTAAGAGTTCAGATATGAGTTTTGGTATTGATTTAGACTTTAAGCATGAGTGTTAATCTTATTTTCCCTATTATTGACCTAATTGGTGTCGAAGTCATGCATTGGACATGCATGATTGTAAAGCTTCGATTTTTATGGTCCTTAGGGTTGGGGGAGACCCTTTAGAAAATCTCAAGGAATAGCTTAAGGCATTAAGAACTTAATGCTCAAAGCTTGCCAGAGCAGATCTCATAGCATGAGCAATAGCCTGTCATGTCGTGAGATGTGGTGTTTGCGACTATTTTGTCCTATTCCAGTCATGACATGACCTATGGGTGGTGACCACGTGACCGTTGGATAATGTTGACTTTTTGAACATGGTAGACTTTCGGTCAAACTAAGGGTTTTGGATTTCAGACTGTGAGGGTAATCTTTGTTGTTGTTAGGTGCCATCTAGGATGAGTCTTTGCTGAGTAAGAGTTATGGAATTTAATTGCTACTTGCGATGTGAGTCTCCTCCCACTATACTTGCCTGTATGGTAGTATGTGTTGACCAACTGGGTCTTATCTGTTGATTATTAATGTATGTGAATTAAGTTGATGTTAACTCCTGGACTGCTGTAAGTCCATAGGATTGCTGATAGTCCCCGCGGTTGCTGATAACCCGTGAGGTGTGTTGTTAATCCACAGGGAGTGTTGTTAGCCATTGTGACTATTGATAGTCCCCAGGGTTGTTGAAGACCCATAACTATTATATGATGTTGTATGTGATATTCAAAATTTTTGATAGTTCCTAGGTTGTTGTTATATGCTATGTTGTATGAGATATTTGGGGAACTCACTAAGCTTTGTGGTTATAGTTGTGGATTAAATATTTTTTTTCGGTACTCATTTGGTTTGCGAAGGCGGGACTGTACACACATATCAACAACTTTATGATTCGAGATTTTGCATTATAACTCTGATTTCTGAATAATGGTTTTTGAACAAATGATTTATTTGAATGTATTATTATTAAATACGAGTTGGTATTAGAGCCCTAGTTTGGGCGATTTGGATGAACACTCGTGGGATTCCAAACTCAAACTATGGAGCTGAGAGTTTTTATAAACCTTTTTAGAAAAGCATCATTTCAAGAGCAGAAAAAGGAAGATGCGATGTGTATAGTCATATGGACCTCGAAAAGTGATATCCCAAATATCCATGTTTGCTTTATACTCCCTGCGTCCCAAAATTATTGTCCATAGACAAAAAAAAACACACAGATTAAGAAAACATTAATTACCTCTAACTTTGTTAAATGAAAAGAAAATTTTACCCATTTGTTGCATTTAATTTCATTGTAGTTGCATTTAATTCATTGGTAGTTTAACTAATAAATTGAGTAAAGTGATATTTATTTTTAGAAGTAGGCTATTATTTTGGGACAAACCAAAAAGGAAACATGGACTATTAATATGGGACAGAGGGAGTATGTTGAAATTGAGTTGTTGTTATATGTGTTAGAGTATGATGTGTATGTTATAAGATAGGCTAAGGATTTACTCATGGTTGCATGCTAGAGCATGCTACGAGAGATGCCTTTCTGTTTGTGTGCTATATGAGCTATTAGAGATGCATGTTTAAGCTAAGGATCCTTAAGAATTGTGTGTTAGAATTGCATGATCTTTGTGATGCGTTTTTGCCTATTGGTTTTTTGCTCAAATATTGTTGGGTTTGTGCTATGTGAAACATATATTAACATTAGTTAGCTACTAAGAGAATACATTAAGTTACATGCCATAATGATTAAATAGCTTTAAAATGTTTGATTTGGCCTATTGCGTAACTCTTGTTTGAATCCAAAGTTGTAGTGCGTGATGTTTTAGTTGAAGGACTATTTAATCCTTGTTGCATGTAATTGTATTCGAAATATAGTTAGTTGGCATTGGTAGAAGTTTCTTCCGCAACTGATAGCAGGGTGGGGGTGGGTATTCCTAGTGATATTAGGAAAGTATTCGGGTATGCTGGTGTGAGCACTTGTGTGAGAGGAAATCCAAGGTGGAAATCTAGGTAGTTGGTGGTGGCGTTTCTAGGCTTATGGGTGTGCTAATACAAATGGTAGTAGTGGATTTCCTAGAAAAGTGTTCTAGTGCGTTCTAATGCATAAGAAGAATGCTAGAGTGAGAGTTTCTAGGATGAGTGGTAGTGTGTGCCTGGGGTGATATGGGTATCTGAGATTGATAGTGGTCTGGTATAGTGACTTAGAGACTAGGAGGCAATTCTCAGGACACATACAGATAGGGTGGAAGCTAGTACTAAAAGTACATGATCCGTATGGTGATCAGGAACGGTAAAATAGGCTTTTAAGAAGCTAGTTTAGGTTAGGTAGTGTGGTATTACACTAATGTTAATTGCAATCGCCATCGTCGATGTCAGCTTATCCGTTATTATTGTGTAGAATGACAACGAAAATCATTTGGATCTGAGTGTCTTTGACAGTTTAGTTCTGGTTGGTGAAGACCTATGAGGTTTTGCTGATTTAGAGATATCAAGGACCTTGCTCAAAGTAGTGTCAGTCTGAGTGCAGGAAGATGTTGTGATTATCAACTTAAGGGTTGCAACCTGAGGCTGAGTGGTAAACTGATGGCAATGGATATTACTTGCTGCATCAGATTTGTGTTTTCTTACCTCCTGTGCTTAAGGGATGAGATATTAGTTATGGGTCAGTAGATGGTTAAGATAGAATATGGTGATCTCCTTACCGGTTCTGTTGAAGGAAGGTGAATTGTGAATTGTAGTAGTGAAGGGATATTTGAGACGAAGTGGTTCTTATAGTTTGATGGCCAAAGTGAAGGCCATGTTTTAGGTGGAATATGTAGCGCGGATTATGGGAGATCGGGTGTACCTAGGGAAACGTCAAGTTGATCCTGTTCTGGGCAGAAGAGTTATGTGAAGGTGTTAAGTTTGTTTGAGATGTGTTTTGAGCATCTATAATAGGAGTCCTTGAAGTTTCATGGAGAGGATGAGGTTGTGGATCAAC